TCCCAAAGTATAGTAAGAGTCACAGTGACAAAGATAACAGGAAACTGGGAGAACACCATAGAGCCTAATTTAGACCCTATGAAATAAAGCCACATAGGTACTCTCTTTTAATTTTTGACAAAGGTGTCAAAAATACATCATAAAATGAGAACTTTTTCAACAAATGATGCAGGGATACTATATTCACATGTCGGGGATTGAATTAGATCCACATATCTTTGGCTGGAGAAAACATGACCAATCCAAGATTACAGTGTAAGACCCACATATGACCAATCCAAGATTACAGTGTAAGACCCACAGTACTGAAACGGTGAGAAGCTGTGCTTCCTAGTTCCAAATCTTTGGATGTGAGCATACAACATGGAGTAACCCTGGAAACCAGCAAAGGTACTATGCAGAGTGGCTTAAAAGTGGAATAACAGGATACAGGTGGTAAAATGTTAAAAATAGGGAAGAATCTGTTACTGGAGAGGGAGAAATATTATCAAGACAAATGAAGAAGGAGGGAGGAGTATAGATAACCCCCAGCTTGTCTGATAAATCCTCCAGGAATCGTATCATTTTATATTTACCTAAATTATATGTAATTCATATGAGGATATGTACAAGTATATATGATATACAAAGGAAATGAAATTAGGCCACTTGAGCTGAAATGTTCCACACAAGCATCATAGACCAACAAAAACCTTGATACAAAGAATGATAAAACTCAACTTTGAATGGCTGATTAATGTAGTCCTAAAAGTTCTCCAAACAGTATAGGCTATTGCTCTTGTCTGTTGATGCCTTTCGGAGATTGAAGGTAAGACTCTACCTGTGAAGTTACTGCACACATAGGACAAGGAGTAAGATTATTGAAGTTGGATCTAACCTAAAGGCCATCTTTTTGTATAGCCTACCTTCCATAGGTCCAGAAAGTATTTTTCTAGCTCCCAATGGAGGAAAACAATTCTTAGTACTAGCTAGCTGTGATCCCTATGAACCATAACAATGACCAGCATGGCAAGATATCCATAAAAGTACAATCATGGTGGGCCTTAATAGGAGAAGATGTGCCTACTATTACTGAAACTTGATATACTATGGCTGGTAAATATGCAGGAGATGTCTGCCCTATTTTGAAGAGAAAGAGGGAAGATGGGGGAGGAGAGAAGGTTGTGGGGGAGGGACTGGGAGGTAAGGAGGGAGGGAAACTGATAAGGCTAGAAAAGGGAATGAATTAATTAACAAATACAAATATAAATTTTAACAAGAGCAATAGTGTGATTTAATGTTGGTGGTAACTAACCAGGCTGAAGGTCCTCTTAACCATGGGAAAACCACCCCTACTACAAGAAATTTAGCCAACTACGTGGGAGTAGGGTCATCAATGGACCCTAGGAGAGAATCTACTACTGCTATTTTTCCTGTCTGCATAATTTCTTAACTATATTGTAAATGTTATCCTTCTACTCAAAGATAAATATAACGCTCACTCTTCATCAAAGAAGATTCTCTTGCCATCGAGTGGAAACCACTAAAGAAAACTGCAACCACAGATAGTACTGAGATGAACAGATTGTGGGGATGGCTTCAATGAATAGATTTTTTTTTTTTGGTTTTTAGAGACAGGGTTTCTTTGTATAGCTTTGGAGCCTATCCTGGTACTTGCTCTGGAGACCAGGCTGGCCTTGAACTCACAGAGATCTGCCTGCCTCTGCCTTCCCAGTGCTGGGATTAAAGGCTTGTGCACCTGGCCAATGAATATATCTTAATCATTGCATCTCTATCTATAGCTCAAGAAACACTGTGGAGGAGAGACCAAATATATTTAGGTATATTTTAATTGTCAGATTCCATTCGAAATCTGTTGTGAGACTGTCTCTTATAGAAATGGCTGCATAAAGAAGAGCTAAACAATTACAAAGATATACCAACACAGAAAGGGAAAATACCATGGGGTCTATACCTGGGCAAAGAAGTATAGATAACTAATGATTGCTGAGAGAAATAGAATTAGCCTCTTCCAGGGCTAAGCACTCTGATTGGTTATTTTATACAGTTATTAGCCCTTAAACCATGTGCACACAAATGACAAGAAACAGACTCAGCAGGCTTCGTTTGTATATTTTTGCACATTAATAGTCAAAGAAGGAGTGGAGGGAGGAAAGAAGACAAGTAACATAATTATATTTTAATTAAAAGTGAAAAAATAAAGAAAACATTTTCACACATTCTCCTTGCTAACATCCTTATTTAACAAGTACATGTTTACAAGAGTAGCTACATTTTCCATTGGTCTTATATTGTCATTAAAGTAGGGCAAAAAAGTCTAAAATTTGATAACAAATGAAAGATGTATGTTTCAAAGGCTGATTGAATTTCATGTGATGAAAAGTGGGTATGAGGAAGAAGGTATTCACTTGGCTAGTTTCTTTGAAAGAATCTACCAAAGCAATGTTTACTTTTATTCAGGTTTGTTTCATAAACATTTGTGCTGCCCTGTAATCACATGGGAATGTAAGTATCCGACTAATGAGGAACTCTGGATATTAAACCCCAAGGGCCATGGAGACTGCCTGGAGTCTGCTGTTGACCATCTACTTACTAGCTTTATACAGGTAGCTTTCCTGACCCTGCTCTTAGTGACCACCATTTCTTCACAGGGTCACAGTGCCTCCTTCTTTCTTTGTTCCTCAGAACAAAGCTTCCTTATTTGTTTTTCCCTGAGATACCTAGAAGAACTGAATGCCATTCTTTAATCTTGAAACCCAGGTAATCAGAAATCTCTTTTGTAATTTTCAGTACTATTCCAGGCTATAGTCCATAGGTCCATTCAGGAATGTGTGGGATAAAGAAATGCCAGCTACCTACATAACTTTCAGTTTCAATCATCTCAAGTTTACCTCTACTTATATGGCAACATTTGGGCAGCATTCATTCTGCTAATTTCTTACACTAAATCTGAATCTCAATGCCAATATACTCTTCCTATATTGTGAAGGATCTCCCAGGATTAACCTGAATTTTAAATCATTTAACAATGGCCAAATTTACGTAGTGAATGATATCTAAGTTTTCATTTTTGACTCAAAAGAAAAACTAGGCAAAATCTTGACTGATGTTCTTTTGTGTTATAAATAAAAGCTGACTGCAAAAGTATACATTAGCATAACTTTTTTGGCATATTTATATTTTTAAAGTAAGAATAACTCTAAGTACAGATAAGAAAAGCAAATCAATATACACCCATATTAAGCCAATTATGATAATTTTGCCACAAGGTCTGCTAATTGTCTAATGTATCTTCTACATTCCACTTCATTTTCTCATTTCAAAGAAAAAAATACATCACATAATTTAATTATTCTTAATATATTATTATAAATAACCCTACAGATTTTACATTTATTCAAACATATACACATTAATACCAAAATATAAATGTCCTTCTATTGGAGAAAAAAGATAAGTGAATTATTATGTACACAAAGAACTTGGATAAATCAAATCAATATTAATGATGTAGAGCAAAAACATAATATTAAAATCAATGAGAGAAGCATAAATAGCAGATGAAATTAAAATGAAAAAGATATTGTTTACAGACTTAAAAAATTAAGCGCACTAAAAATCTTAAGATAGTGAATACCAACATTTTACAGTAACATATTCCTAATTCATACATGAAAAAGAAAAATAAGTATGTGTCATTTCAGTTTTAATAACACTTAGCAGTAATAGTCAACATACTTTAATTTAATGGTTGATATTTTTATTGACTTTAGTATTCTCTTTAGTATTTAGTGAATAGTTTAAATATAAGACATAATTATATTATTTAAAACATCTAAAAAGTTTATTATATTATAGATTACTGTTAGAAAAAATATGTATATCTTAGCACAATTATTATGTTGATATGGCAACTATAATTTTATAACTAGAAATCATTATATTTACATGACAAAATATTAACATCAGTGTTCATTATTGAATTGGGTATTTTTCTTGCTTCTTTGTATGCATTATTCCCAATGGCAGTTTTAATAAATGATTCTTCAATGAAGTTTGATATTATTATTTTGAAGATGATCTATTTTAATTTTTAAAAATTTTTGTTTTTGAGATTACAATATAATTTAAATCTGTATTCCTTCCGTTTCTCCTTCCAAATCCTCCAATATACTCTCCCCATTATCCTTCAAATTTATGGCCTCTTTTTCATTGTGTGACTGCATAAATATATGTACATGTATATGCATAAATTCCTAAATAGCACATGTTCAGTCTCTATAAAGCTACTTGTATGTATTTTTTCAGAGAAGACATTTTCACACTAGACAAACAATTGGTGTGCTCTTCCAGGTAGAAGACCACCTCTCTCACTCCCAGCTTTCCTTATGTATCAATAATATTTTGTGTATAGTCTCTTTTATATTTTGTCTTGACCAATGCATCACTTCCCTTGTATACTGTATTGTGAAAAGTGGTCTGATAATGTTTATGGCTTAAATAAATTACAGTAGACATGATAAATGACTATTACATGTCAAATGCTGCTATAAAAGATTTTTATTTTGTTTTCTTTTCCTTGTCCTTTCAACATTAAATTAAGATTTTATAATTGTTTTCTATGAATGAGAGAATGGAAACATCTGACACAATTAAAAATTATTTTTATGTATACAAACTGGACACGGATGCCAGACTTAGACATGTTCAATGTAAAATACCAATTAATTCTATATTTTTGCTTAGCTTTAGTATGATTTTTATATTCCTGAGGCCTTGGAGAAGTTTTAGCTTAAAAACTATGTATAATTTTATTTTATTCTTATTTGGTTCTAAAATGTAAGGCCTTCACTAAAATATAGTAGTAAAGAGAAGGATACAAAGAAAGGCAGTAAAGGCAAAGTGTGGGGCTAAGGGATGAGAGTAAAAGTCATAATGAGCTTGTACATTTGCTTTCTTGACCAAGCACCTGTATTTTCCCCTCCAGACTCTAACAAATTATGGGATTAGAAAACTGGACAGGTGTGATAGAGTTCTTTCTCTTGGGACTCTCAGAAGATCCAGAACTTCAGCCCATTCTCTTTGGACTCTTCCTGCTTATGTACCTAGTGACAGTTTTTGGAAACCTGCTTATCATTCTGGTCATTGTCTCTGACTCCCACCTCCACACTCCTATGTACTTCTTCCTCTCTACCCTGTCCTTCACTGACATCTGCTTTAGCACCACCACGGTCCCTAAGATGCTGACAAACCTTCAGAGACAGAGCAAAGCTATCAGTTACACAGGTTGCATTACACAGCTCAGCTTTGTCTTGCTTTTTGCTGGAATGGAAAACTTTCTCCTTGCAGCAATGGCTTTTGATCGGTATGTGGCTATCTGCACTCCACTTCACTACACAGCCACCATGAAATTCCACCTGTGTTTTCTGATAATTTTATTTTCTTTGGGCATTAGCATTGTGGATGCCCTTCTGCATGGTTTAATGATTTTGCGGCTATCTTTCTGTACATATCTTGAAATTCCCCACTTTTTCTGTGAACTTGATCAGGTCATCAAGCTTGCATGTTCTGACACTCTTATCAATAACATTCTGGTATATTCAGTGACTAGTGCATTAGGTGGTGTCCCCCTACTAGGGATTATTTTTTCTTACTTTAAAATTATCTCTTCCATACTGAGAATGCCATCACCAGGAGGTAGGTATAAAGCTTTCTCAACATGTGGATCTCATCTGTCCGTTGTTTCCTTGTTCTATGGGACAGCTTTTGGGGTATATATTAGTTCTGCATTTACAGAGTCATACAGGAAGACTTCCGTGGCATCACTGATGTACACTGTGCTCCCTCCAATGCTGAACCCATTTATCTACAGTCTGAGAAACAGAGATATCAGGAGAGCTTTGAGGAAAATCATCTGAATAACTATCTTCTTAATATTGCATTGTGGCTTTGAATGTGACTTTCTGTACTGACTTAGGGAACACTAGGATAGCTAAAATGACAACCCCTCAACCATTTGTTTGTGTTAGAATAGTGACTAGATGCCATAATATCTAAGGGTTGTTATTTGTATATGAAAGTTTATGTTGTCTTCTCTGGTTCCTGGAAATTTTGAAGTCCTATGTAGAAATTTTGAGATTAATTTCTTGAATAGAGTCCACAAAAGCAAACTCTGAACAAACAATTCTGGATAAAATTATCTAGGACAGTTAATTCATTATATTATTTACAGTATTATGTTAAAAAACAAATACATCAGGTGAATATTTTATTAAACCAAGCCTACTACATACTCATGGATATTGCCATATTGTCTGACTCCCTTAATCTATTCTAATAAGTTTTTTAATACCTATACTGATCAGAATTTTTTTTACCAGAGCCACAATGCTGTATTATCTGTGGAAGCTACTGTTGAGCTGAATAAAGAATGGAAGAACTATGTGGTATTGTGAATGAATGCTGAAAGCAGAGGGTTCTTTTGTGGCTGTTCTCTCTGTTCCAGCAATACTCCCTGCACTTGTATTCCCTGTCTCTGAAAATAATCTCTATTATGAATTCCATTTATTTATAGGGTTATAAAGTTGTGAGTTTCCCCCTCAAAGATAGTAGTAACTTACAGGTTCTATGAAGGCAGGAATAGGACAAATGGAAAGCAGGGATAATTATCTGAGGACCCTAGAGGAGAACTCACTATTACACCTTCCCTAACCCAGTATAATTTCTAAGCACATTCTAAATATTTATCCTATACCTACATATAAGTATAACTCTCACGTCTCATCCAAGAAACTTCTTTTTTGCCACATATTATGACCATTAGAGAAAGACACAGCTGGTCAAAATGAAAAGAACAACTGGATGGGTGCTACCAAATCTCAATACATAAAAAGTAGAACCCCTATATTGAAGGCTCAGGAAACATCACAGAGGGGGAGGGAATTTGTAAGCAGCAGATAATGTGGGCATCTGATACAAAATAGTGTCTCCTTTATATGACAGGGAAGATGCTCCCATGAAATATCAATAATGTTTTCAACTAAAGAAGACCTGAAAATGATAACACCACTAATGTGCCAATATTGATGAGAGACATCTCATAAAATACAATCCCTAGATGAGGAGATAAGCTGTGGGAAAATTAGCCTCTTGATAGGTGATCTGATGTCAAGGAGTCAGCCCCAAATGTATATACATATGAACACCACTAAATCAACACAGCAGATTTCATATATACATATATGTATATATATGTACACACATATACATATATAACATATTAATAATATTTAAAAATAAAGCTGGGCATTGGTGACACATGCCTTTAATCCCAGAACTCGGGAGGCAGAGGCAGGCAGATGGATCTCTGTGAGTTTGAGGCCAGACTGATCTACAGAGCGAGTTCTAAGACAGACTCCAAAACAATACAGAGAAACTCTGTCTCAAAAAAAAAAAACAACAAAAAATGAAATGCCATGATTTGAAAGAAACAGGGGAGATGGAGAGACAGAAGCATAGTGTCATGGAGGAGAAGATGAGAAGTGTGTAACTATAATAATCATTTATAATATTTTCAAGAAATATATTAGAATGTTGTGATTGAATTAAGACAACCATCTAGAGTAAATTAGACTTCAGGAAGGCACATCCAGATATGTTCTAGTCATGTTCATTCTTCCTTTGGTTATAGTCTTTCTAAGGTAACCCTTGTCTATTGCTGGTATAACAGATGTTATCAAAATCCTTTATTAAGACAAATGATGTTCTCTAAGATCATACAAAATTATCCTTTCATGTATCATCCTCCAGAACCTAGTATGTACTCATCTGCAAACAAATTTCTGGTCAGACATATGAGGTCAACATGAGTCATTTTTAGACATCATCTGTATGGTTCATGACTGGTACTTGGTCCATGAATTTCCCATACCTTTGTAGAAGTGCATGTTTGTGGAATCCACAAAGGTTGTTAGTGTTTTAGAATGGTCTTATTGGTGCATATTTCTAATAATATCATAGGTGATACCAATATAAATACCCCGGGGATTAATTTTGGGGTATGAAAACTACTATTTTAGTGTTTGGTTACTGTTGCACTTAATTGTATTGTGTAATCCTTGTTGGAAAGTAACATAGCACAATTCCTGCTTTGTAATAAATAATAAAACTTAATTTCATCAGATTCCATATTTATCCTGTTATTTTAGCCATGAATTACTTTTGTATCAGATACTTGTTAAGGTTTGCTTTACACGTTCACTGTGTTGATTATAGTTTTAATACAGTTTATTATTCTGAGCAGACCTACTGGCAAATGTCACAGAAACTAGGGGTTTGACTAATGTTGATGACTTCTGATATATTACTCATGATAAATGACTAATTTTACTTCCTTCTTCAAACATTATGTCTGGATTAATCATTCCAAAAATATGGATTCCAGAAAATGAAGTTTTTTGAGTAAAATAACAAGTGCCTTTATATAATTATAGAGAGTTTTATATGCATGTATTTAAGTTTTAAAATGAAAGTATGGTGAAATAAATGTGTATATGGAAGCTGTATTTAAAGTTGGAACTCTCAGAAATATCGAGATTCTCAGAATGATGTATGTTCCAATTAGTTCTTAGAATCATTTCTTCAGGATATTTCCCAAACAAGCATGCGGAGCCTTTGGTCAACAAACTCTTACTCTTCTAGTTTCTGTAGACATCCACCATCCAGAATCCTTTTTCATTGTTCTCATTCTGTTACTGTATAACTGTTACATTACTGTGGTATTAGGCAAAAAGAAACAAGATAGGAGAACATGTTGGGAAGTAGAAAGGGATGATGTGTAATGTATGCATGTATGGAAATATTATAAAGAATGGAGTAAGATTTGAAATTATAGGTACTAAGAATGTGATCAGTATAGATGCAATTTTAACAATAAAACATATTTAGAATTGTCTCATATTCATGAAAATATGACACCCTTTTGTATGCAAAGACTTTTAACTGGGGTTAGGTGAAGACACCCTTCCAAGCAAATTATGACATACTGGGATGTTCAGCATTCTAATAATACATGTTATTTTGTTCACTTTCATTTGGGAATTATATTAAACAGTAGTACTAAAATAATATTTTAATACTTTTTGTTATTCCTTTTATTAGGTAAGATTCTATACATATACTAGTGTTTTATTTTAAATACAATTTATATTTCAAATATAAATTTGGCAGGGTTATCTTATCAAAGGATTAGGGTCAGATTGGGCTCTGGTTTCAGGGACAAAGTATGTTTCTTTCACTGGTCCTTTTTAGTTTTTTGGCTCTAGTTTTAGGGTCAGTGTATATTTGTTTCACTGACTCTGATTCCAGGGACAAAGTGTGTTTCTTTGGCACTGGTTTCAAAGTCATGGTGTATCACAATGAAGAAACTTTGGTTTGTTCAGTATGGGGTATTTTAAGAATTTTAACCTTAAATTTTTGTTTTTTTGTGTTTTTGTTTTTTGAGACAGTGATTCTCTGTGTAGCTTTGGAGCCTATCCTGGCACTCACTCTGTAGATCAGGGTGTCCTCAAACTCACAGAGATCTGCCTGCCTCTGCCTCCTGAGTGCTGGTATTAAAGGTATGCACCACCATTTTGTATGGAAAAAGAGTCCAGCCAAAGAAACACACCCTGGGGAAGCCTCCCCTAAAACAGGGCTGTAAGCTGCTAAGCTTACTGTGACCTGTGGTATTCCTTGGCTCCCAAGCTCCAGGATACCTTTCCAACTGATCTTTGTAACACTCAGAAACAAACTTTGGCGCTGTAACCAGAACCAAGGGAATACAAAAAAAAATCAATACCTACAACTATAATCACTCCAAAGCCAGATGCATAGACAACAGCATCAATCAGCACAACAGCCAAGGCAATGTGTCAATCCCAACATCCAGCTATATCAACCCACGAACATTTCACTACAGCTGAAGCACAAGAAAAATACTTTAAAGCCAACTTTATGAAAATAATTGAGGTACTGAAAGCAGAAAAGAACAAATCTCTTAAGAACTCCAGGAAAATAAAAACAATAATTAGAGGAAATAAATAAATCACAATAAAGCAAAGAATCCAAGAAAAACAGACAATTGAAAGAAATGAATAAAATTGTTCAAGACCTGAAAATAGAAATAGAAACAATACATAAAAAACGGATGGAATTCTGGACATGAAAAATCCAGGTTAAGTGAACTGGAAATATAGACACAAGAAACAACAACAGAATATAAGAGACAGAAGAAAAAATCTCAGATGTTGGAGATATGATAAAAGAAATAGACATATTGCTCAAAGAAAATGATAAATTAAAAAATTATGGATTCAAAACAGCTAGGAAATCTGAGACACAATGAAAGGACCAAACCTAATAATAGGAATAGGGGTATAGTCCCTACCACCCAGCAAGCATGTGAGAGAACTGCCTCCAGGCTGTGCCCCTACATTCATCCACCCACTGGACTCTGTCCCTCCAAGATCCAATCTACCACATTAACTTTCTCACCAGTTTATCATCCCGATGGCCAGGCCTTCCAGGAAATCTCTGTAAGCTATATAGGAGCAGGCACAAATCACAGCAATTAGAAAAACACCCATACCCTGCAGCTGCAGCAGACTACATAGGTGCAGGTACAAACCACACCACTTGGAAGAACAAGCACTGGTACAAGTCACACCTTTTGGAAGAACAGATGAATAAAGAAATGAGTAAGAATACGTTAAAAAACTGAAAAAGCAACATGGCATAATCTGGTGATCCTACAACAGCAAAACCTGAAAATACCAATGCAGCTAAAATACACAAAAATGAACTGAAAATAATAGACACTCTCAAAGAGGAAATGAAAAATTCCCTGAAAGATATTGAGGAAAAGATAAACAATTGGAAG